GGGCCCATCCATCTGTGGCCACAGGGGGTGGGTCTGGACTGTGACTGAGAAGTCTGAGTCTGGGTTGTACTATATATATATATATATATATATATAGTAAATTTGTGTGTGAAATATATATATATATTTCACACACAAATTTATATATATCGTAGAGACCCGTATACCGAGCCTCTAGTATACACATAAGATCTTTGGTTAATCTCTTCCCGCCCTCCCTCCTCCCCCTTCCCTCTGAGATTCATCAGTCTGTTTCATGTTTACATGCCTGTGCGTTGAACATCTGCTCCCTGGTGGTCAATACGCATCATAGCTACTGGTCAAAGGGTTGAAAGGTCAAAAAGTCAGATGGTCACTTAGGCTTTTATACATATAGATATAGATGTATATGTATATATCTATATATTGATCTCAGAAAGGGAGCAGAGAGAGATAGAAACATCCATGATGAGAGAGAACCACTGATTGGCTGCCTTCAGCATGCCCCACAGTGGGGATCAAGCCCACAGCCCAGGCATGTGCTTTGTCTGGTAGTTGAACTGTGATCTCTTGGTCATAGGTTGAGGCTCAACCACTAAGCTATGCCAGCCGGGCCGAAGTCTGGGATTTATTTGATTCGTGGAGGCAGCCATTGGAAGCACTTCAGCAGGGGAGGCACGGTCAAGGCTGTAGCACCCACAGACTACTTGGCACTAAAAGCCATCCCACGGGAGGAGAGCCTGGGGTCTGACAGCCCAGGACGGGGACCAGGCTGCTTGCGGAAGAGGCAGAGCTGAGTGAGGGAGGGACTCTGGGGGACTCTGAGGCTGTGAGGACTCACTGGGACTGGTGAGGCTGGCTGCCAATATGCGGAGGGGTGGTCCAGGGTGACTCCTGGGAGCTTGTTTTGGGTGCCTGAATACCCCAGGGAGAGTGGGCCAGGTAAGAAGATAGACTCGGACTTTTGGGTTTGCCATCCTGGTGGTGGAAAGGCTCGGGTGTATGTTGGGAGGTGGGGGGGCAGAAGCCAGGGGTGCATGATCTCCTGGATTTGGGATCAGAGATAGAGAGCACGCAGAGAAAGCACAGGGAGAGGCCAGCACCCAGGAGCCTGGAAACGCACTTAGGGGCGGCACTAATTCCTCCTGCCGCTTCTGCAGCCCCCACTCGGCCTGTCCTCTCTCTGCACACCAGTCCTCAGGCCTTCCCCTGCTCCCTCCTGCTGTTCCCGGTGCGGAACATTCCTCCCTCCCCGAGAGGGTGGAGCCCAGAATGTCCAGGAGGTGGCCGAGCCTGGGTGCCCACTGTTTACCTAGGAGGGCATGGAGCCAGCTGGGCTCAGAACTGCAGGCAGGGCCAGGCCGGGGGAGGGATGGCTGCCTTGAGGTGGGGCATGCGGGCAGGTTGGTGTGCTGTGGGGACTGGTGAGGAGGGAGTCCTGGGAGAGCTGGCTGAGGACCCGGGTCTCAGGGGCACAAGAAACCCAGGGCACAAGTAGACAAGGGCTGGCTTGGGAGAGAGAGGAGAAAAATCATTTCCTCTTTCTCAGAGAAGAGGGGAGGAGGAGAGGATGGAACGCTATTCTAGGTAGGTGCTAAAGCTGAGACCATCTTATCCGCAGTTTACATCCCAGGAAAACCATGTCCTAGACCATTTCTGCCAGCAGGTCCACGGTGGGGAGGGAAGCCCCCGGTCGACAGGGGGACCCAGGCTGTTCCCCTAAATGCAGGGCTTGTCAGCCAACCAATCAGAGCAGCGGAGGAGGAAATTCCCTTCTAGAAAAAGGGGCTTTCTCAGGATCCGAGGCCGCTGGGACCCCCTACCTCTGTGCGGCAGGGCCGGGCCGGCCGGGGACCTAGAGGAGGAGGACTGGCAGGGTGGGTGGCTGGGTCTCCTTCCCCGCAGGTAGCAGGGGAGCTCTGCCCGGGTTTCTGCAACAAGAACCTGCCTGCAGCACCCCGCCCCGTGGGTGGGGGGGCTCTTAAAAGGGCAATGTCAGAGGCCGCGGTGCCAGCCCCATCCAGCCTCCCCCAGTGGAGAGGCAGGGCTGGGCCCCTCCTTTTGTGTGCAACTGGGAGGAGCTTTGGGGAACCCCACGCTGGGAGGCGAGGGGGGTGGGGCAGGCCCCTCTCCTGGCGCAGGCTGTGACATGCAGTGCATTTCTCTGGGCCCATCCCAGCTCCGCCTGTCAGACTCTTCCCGGGAGCCTGGCCAGGGAGGCTGGGGGTGGGAGGAGAGCAGGCTGTCTGGGGACCTGGGAGAAGGAGAGGGGACCTTCAGGGAAGGAAAAGCAGGACAGGTCCAGGACAAGCTCCCAGGAGAGACCTCACCACTGGGGGTGCGGGCCCCTGGGCGGCTAAGGCTAAGTGACCCTCCCTGCAGGCAGAGTGCAGGCCGGCTCCTTGGTCTCACTTCGGATGCCCACAGTTGCCAGCTTCAGCATTTCTTCCTGGAAGTCTGGCTCCTGGTGGTCCCTGTCTCCTGGCAGAGAGAGGCCTGGCGTCTCCGCTCTTGCCTGAAGCACCCAGGACTGCATCTTGGGCCCTCAATTCCTGGGTGTGGGAACCGAGGGTTGCTGAGGGACCCAGGGCCGTGACTCACTCCACTCAGCCCGTGGGGGTTGTTTGCTCACTTCGGTAACTTGGGCAGCTGAGGCTGGAGATGGGGCAGGTCAAGGTGCCAGGGATGAGGGCATCAGCCGTGGGTTGCGGAGGCAGCAACTGCCAGGGCGGAGCCCAGGTTAGCTGGGCTCGGTCCCAAGTGCTTTGCTTCCAGGCCAGGCGGCCGTTCCTAAACACAACACTGGCATCAGCCGGCCCAGGGCTGCAGGGAGAGAAGGAGGGGGTGTGCAACTCTCACCCCAGAGGCAGGCAGGCCATACCTTCCCAACGACGGTGAGTTCTTTGAGAGCAAGGCCTGTGTCCCTTCCTTCTGTGACCCCAGCTCTAAATGGTGCTGGCACAGGGACAGCGATGATAGAGGTGTCTGTCCATGTGTGCGCCAGCCTGTGTTCTTGTGACCTGCAGGGCGGGACCTCAGCCACAGGGTCATCCTTTCCTTCACAACTTGCAGCTGTTTTTCTCCTCTGGCTTCTGGGAGGGGGGTACTTTCTAAGGCTGCTGGGCCCATGCAACACCTGTATTCCGAGCTCCCATGCATTCCTGTTCAGTAGGCACGCTCCCAGTCCAGTCCATGCCCTGACCCAGCCGAGGGGCAAGTAGGGGAAGATTGGCATGAGGAGCTGGGCTGCCAACAGCATAGGGCAGGAGGCTCTCTGCATAAAGCAGCAGGGAGTTCTGGGTGCAACCAGCCCCAGTAAACCAGTCAGGTGAGAGGTGGCCAGCCAGTGCAGGGGAGCTGAGAGCTGGGCCCATGCGCCCCTGGCCTCAGGGCCCTGGCTTCTACCTTCCTGGTGGAAGTCACAGGCCCAGGAGCTGGAGGGTAGGAGTGGGGAGTGCAGGGGCCAGCAGCAGTGCCTGTATGGCTAGATGGGGATGCTCAAGGCCATCAGAAAGTTTCCATCTCCAAAGCCCAGTGTGCTTTTGGAATAGGGCTGGGTGGTGGTGAGCAAACCCAGCCTCTTGCCCCGTGTAAATGCCTTTCTCTAAACCCACCAGCAAGGTCACAGCAATGTGAATTTCTGATCCTTCTGAGTAAGTGCGAGCAGCTTTCTCTTTTGTCCCCTGGCCCTGGCTGTAATCCCAGAGCTGAGGGCAAGGGGTTACGGCAGAGCCGGGCTGGCTGGGCCTGCCTGTGGCGAGAGCCCCTGTGGTCCCCCTTTTTGGGTGTCCCAGTTTTGACAGGATTCCAGCAGCAAAATTAATAGGACCAGCCCCAAGTTCCCAGTGGGAAACCAAGCACATGAGCTGGGTGCCAAGCTCCAGTGGCAGCTAAGGGAGATGGCTGCTGGGGACTGGGGATGCGGAGATGACTTAAAGGCTCCTAAGGGACAGGCCAGTTCAGAGTCCTCCTCGCACACACAGCAGGCACCAGGACTCCTGGCTTCCACCTGGCCGTGTCTCCTCTCCCTCACCCACGTGAAGGAAGGGGTATAATCACATCCCCACCCTCCCTTCGGGGACTGTCACAAAGATAAAAGGGACCATCTATAGGAAGCGTTTCAGGCTCCTAGGAGAGAAGCACCCGACCGACAAGAGGTGTTATTACAGCAGAGTGTTTGGAGATTGCAGATGAAAGGCAGCGGGTAAATAAGGAGCCTAAACATCACTCTCCCAAGAGCAAGGGTGCGCTGGCTACTGGGCCGCAGAGAGGGAGTAAAACGCCTCCAGCCCCCCGCCCTGCTGGCTACCTCCATCCTTCCGGCAGCAGCAACAGGCTGCTGAGCACTTGGTCTCCCATTTTGGAACGACTGCGAAGAGAAGCAGCTGTTAGTAAGGCCCTGCCTTATGCTCTCGAATCTAGGACCTCTTTTGGATTAAATATAGTCGCATCTCCCTAAGACATCACAGCCTCCCTCCCCTTCCAAAGAGCCCTTCCCACGGAACAGAAGTGCAGGCGGCTTTTTATACCGGCTGGTCCCTAAGCTAGGCCCGCTTTACTGCGTGGACCCAGAAGCAGGTTTAGAGGATCCTGGCCCTTGTTCCACAGGCTGATGTGGCTAAGGCTCAACATTCTGCCTTCGCACTGGAGCCTTCACTATACCTACCCAGCCCTCGCCTGCCTTTTCCAATGCTCTCTGACTTGCTATATGGAACAGCTTTATTTAGGAGGAAAAGCACAGATGAGTGTGGTTCCAGGGAGAGCTGCGAGCCAGGGTTTGAGCCCCAGGCGGAGGACTGAGTCCCCGCCTCCGCTGGGGAGCCCCATGGCACGGCCTCCTGGTCCTCAGTGGTTGCATCCTAGGCCCATGCGAGCAGACGGGAGCTCTGTGGTACGGAAGCAGAGGGTTCCCGTTCCAGCAATGTAGTCAGACGGTGCAAGCGATCAGTGGGTATATCTGGCTTCCCCGCCCTCGGGCAGGCTCCAGGATCCCAGCTGACAGGACTTGGGGGAAGGAATGTTCAGGAATCGGTGACCGTCAGGCTCTGCAGCTGGCTCTCCAGGCTGACGTCCGCTGCCCCTTTGTTTTTGCTGCCCTCCTGCTGCTTCTTCTGCTTCTTCGATGGCTCCTGGTCAATGGGCGCAGGCTTCACAAAGGGAATCAGCTCTTGGAGACCTGGAGAGGAAGAGTCAACAGAATCACCCATCGTTTCTCAGAGCTAGAGCCCCCCAGACCTCTGCCTTTGAACACAAGGGCATCCGTGATGGTTCCAGTCTTCCCTTCCCGTCGGAATCTCAGCGGCATCTCAACGGAACGGCAGGCCTATCCCGGCTACCTTCTCGCTCTGCCCTGCAGTGCCCAGCACCAGAGACAGGCAGAGTTTGGGTGACTGTATGTGAACAGGAAGACCGGGTCCATTTGGAAAGGGGCCACTATTCAGGAGTGTGAAGACCGAGCAGAGGAAGAGGAGGAGGGGCTGGGTCTCACCTGGCGGCATGAACTCCTTCAGCTTCTCAGGCACGAGGATGCCCTTCTCCGTCTGGTAGTTCTCCAGGATGGCGCAGATGGTGCGGGTGGTGGCACACATGGTGGCGTTGAGCATATGGACAAACTCCACCTGAGCAGAGGGAGCACTTCAACTCCACCCTTGGCTGGTCTAACTGGCCCCTGGGAGCCACCACCCCAGCAGCCGGACTCCCCCACTGCAACTAGCCAGTTCGGAACCATGGCTTCCACCCGTTCCTGAGCCTTTGCTCAGCCTGGATTCTGTTTGGGATTGACTGCCTATCAATCCCAAGGTGCAAGTCCAGGAAGACCCCTCATGTCTCCAGGAGTGGCAAACGAGGCTGATGTAGGTCTCAGTGTTTGTTTGTTTTATTTGTTTGTTTGTTTTGGTTGTTTTTTATTAAACGTCTCAGTGTTTTGAGGAGAGTTAGGTGCTTTGAGGGGAAAAGAAAACACTACCGCAGGGGCCTCCTCTCTCAACCCCCTTCAAGCCCCTGACTTGGAAAAGTAGGGCCTGGAAGTTGGGTTTGAAGAGAGAAGCTTACAACCCAGACCTCCTTGGGTGAGAAGGGGGCAGGCATTGCCTAGGCCTCTATTTGGAGCGACAGAAAGCAAAGCCCCAAAGAGGAACGTCAGCATATTTTTGTAGAATGGCCAGAGCCCGGTTTCCACCCAAAAGAACTCAGTCCTGACTCGGAAGAAGTCATGTTCAGGTTCCCTTTCTGATCTAGCCTGAAACGCGCAGATTTTCCCGCGATGCGGGGGGGTAATGCACTCCGAGGGCCGAGAAACAAGACCACCCCGCTCTGCACCGCCGAAGGCCCCGCGGCCCGCCTCCCCAGGGCCCTCTACCTTGTCCATCATCTTCTTGGTTTGCCCGTATCGGATTCGGAGGCGGCGAGCCTGGTAGTCCGTGCAGTTAGAACAGGAGACCAGCTCACGGAAGGCTCCCGAGCCCGGAAACCAGGCCTCCAGGTCAAGCTTCTTACTGGCAGCGTGATTCAAAGAACCTGTAAGGGAACACCCGTAGAATTCAGGGAGGAGGGATGGTATTTCAGAAGGCTAACCTTTAGCAAACCCGAAGAATTCTGTAATTCACATGCCGGCCCCAGAAGTGAAATCACGCCCAGATATTCTTATCGGCAAACGCTCCCGAGGGAGGAGAGTGTGATCTTTTAATTAACGTGGCCGTTAATTGGATCCTGAGCCGCTCCGCTGTGTGGGGCAGGGGAGCTGGTACCTGAGACGATATTCACGATGTGGTATGGGATCCCCAGGGTCTGATAGAACTGCTCCGCGGTGGTGATCATCTCCTCAAACATCTCCCACGACTTGTTGTCGTGTGGCGACGCGTAGACAAACTGTTCGATCTGCAAAGAGGGGCCAGGGAGACAGTGGCAACGGGACAGGGCAAAGCCGCCAAAGAACCAAAGATCCTCTGGCCGCTAAGACCTGTTCCTATACCGCTGGGAGTCAGGCGACACTAAAGGGGACACTACAGAGGCTGGGTCCCAGCAAAAGAGATGGGTGCTGCCCTGGGCCGGCTGTGCAACAGGAACACGTGTTTCTGCAGAGAGCTTACCGCGCATGTGCCGGGCACTGTTCTAAGTGCCTCTCATGTTAACTAATTTAATCCTTTCGGTGGGCTAGTGAGGTGGGTACTAGTTATTACCCTCCTTTGTAGCAGAGAGTGGTGGAGAGCAAGCTGCCCGAGGTGACACAGCGGGTAGGTGGTGGGGTTGGCATTTGGACTCAGGCAACCTGGTTCCAGGGATGGTGCTGGCAGCTACTCCACACCACGTGCTGCTCACAAAACACAGACGTAGGCAACAGGAGGCAAGACTGGATCCTTAGATACACAGCTCCTGCCTCTCCTCTCACTTCCAAGGACAGACAGGTAGAAGGGGCCTGCTCCTCACCCCGACTTCCCTACTTACCTTCTCAAACTGATGCACTCGGAAGATGCCGCGGGTGTCGCGGCCGTGGGAGCCCACTTCCTGGCGGAAGCAGGTGGACAGGCCAGCGTACTTGATGGGCAAATCCTCTGGCCGTAGCCACTCATCCCGGTGGAGAGCAGCGATGGGCTGCTCGGAGGTGGCAATCAGGTATTTCTCATCATAGGAGTTGTCGTCAGACTTTTCACTGCCTTTGCCAATCACCTGAAGGAGGAGGGAGCTTTACTGGTTAAGAGGGAGAGAGGAGGACCTCAGCTAGAGCAGAGGCAACAGGGGAGATGTGAGCAATGGGACTGGGGGAGGGGGACAAAGTTTCTTTAACCCCTGCCTGGGAGTGAGGAGGGGACATTGAAGACAGGGGAGGGAATGGGGTCCCTAATAAAGATCGGAAAAAAGCAAATTAAAAGATTTAAAAAATTGTGCTACTTGTACTTATCTAATAAATAAATACATTTGTAAATGATGTAGAATGGCCAGTGATGGCAGGTGTACAATAAAACCCGAACTGGTAGCAATATAATGTAACCCACTCGACAAATATTTGTGAGACATACAAGGCTGGGCCAAAGGAGACCTGGTCTCCGCTTTCTTGGTGCTTATGTGTTAGTCCAAAGGGTATAATCCTCAGCCACTTTGGTGGCCAGTTGACAAGAATGACCTTCTGAAGCTGGACTTGAATCCTCTGGCTCTCCCTGAGATGGCCCAGGGCTGAGAGTAGCCACAAGCAGGAAGCCACATCTATGCCAAGAAAAGCATGGCTTGACCTATGGAAGCTTCCGGTCTGGGGTCAGGAGTGGGAGGACACGAGAAGGCTGGCCACTTCTATAGTGTCCTTTTGTCCGGCCACTCAATAAATACACTTCTTTTCTAGCTCATGAAGCTAAAGGCATGCTTATTTGTTTATTTATTTGTTTGTTTGCTTATTATTTATTTATTTTTAATGCCCTGATCGGGAATCGAACCATGACCTCCTGGTTCATAGGTCGACACTCAACCATTGAGCCATGCCGGCTGGGCAAAGCATGCGCATTTAGACACATCACAGATGAGCTGGAGGAAGAGATCAAACAGGCCCTAGGTTTGCACTCACTGTCCAACACAGCAGCCACTGGCCACGTAGAGCTACTTACGTGGAAATTTTACTTCCTCAGTTGCATTGGCCACTCTAGGTGCTCAACAGCCACAGATCTAGGCCACCTCCATCGCGGCAGGAAGTCTTCCGGACAGCGCTGCTCTGTATCTGTGAAGTTCAACTTCCCAGCTAAAGTTTTTCTGCCCCTCTGCCCAGCTACTCACCTTGTAAAGCTCTTCATCGAACTGGCTGAGCTGTGCCACCTCCTGCATGACCTCCTTCCTCATGAAAAACGGGGTATAAATGGGAACGTAGCCTCGATTTCCCAAAGTGCGAAGGGCGTACTGGATGAGCGCCTGTTCCAGGAACACCAGGGGCCCCTGAGGAGAGACACAGCCTGGGTGATTGGGTTCTGTCGCCACCAAGTTCAATTGCTAGAATTCCCTCCGAGGCAATGGGGCCAGTAGAATGTGACTACCCAGGGGCACACAGGCGGCCAGGAGAGACAGCGCACCCCAACAACCAACTCAGGAGGTTCGCGAGTCCCGAGCAGACCCCCCAGGCAAATTGTAAAGAGAATTCTCTTTCAGATACCAAGCGAGAGGAAAGGAGTGGTGGCCCCGCATGCATGGGAATGTTTTCTTGTGCTAATTCTCATAACACCGGACTCATTTGCATAGAGCAGAGCATACCTATGTATGTGTGTATATGGAGAGCATAGTTGGCCATTGAACTAGGTTAGAGGCACTGACCACAGTCGAAAATCCACCTATAATTTTTGACTCCCCGCCCCCAATTAACTATCAACTACTAATAGCCTACTGTTGACCAGAAACCTTACTAATAACATAGACAACATATGTTTTGTGTATCATATACTGTGTCCTTACAGTAAACTAGAGAAAAGAAAATGTTATTTTACAAAATCACAATGAAATAAAATCAATTTAAAAGTCATAAGGAAAATACATTTACAGCATTTATTGGGGGGGGGGGGGGGGGCGGGAATCCACATATAAATGAATGGGACCAGCAGTTGAAACTGTAGTTCCAAAATTATTTTACCATGTCTTGCTAGAAGCCTCTCTGAGTGCACCTGCCCTCTGTCCCAGCTAGCCTGGGTTTGCCTCTGCCTGGCGGCCTCCCAGCACTCTGGGCCTGCCTACCCCACAGTTCTGTGCACCAAACAGAGCCACGGACCAAACCTGACAAGCTCAGGGAGGCCAGCATGGTAGGCCCTACAGGCTCAAGAGACTGAAAATAGCCACAGAGGATGGCCTGGCCATCATCATTTCCAACTAAAAGCCCATCTTGGCGAATAGTTAGGTCCTATCAATCTTTTTAAAAAAAAAAAAAAAAAAATATATATATATATATATATTTTTTATTAATTTTTTTTTACAGAGAGGAAGGGAGAGGGATAGAGAGTTAGAAACATTAATGAGAGAGAAACATCGATCAGCTGCCTCCTGCACGCCCCCTACTGGGGATGTGCCTGCAACCAAGGTACATGCCCTTGACCAGAATGGAACCTGGGACCTTTCAGTCCAAAGGCCGATGCTCTCTCTATCCACTGAGCCAAACTGGTTAGGGTGACAAAGGTCAATCTTTACCTTACCTGAGCCCGTCTGCAGCCTTTCTGAATCTAAGCTGTCATTCATACCTTTGAAATGTTAGCAGCATCTCCTTTCCCAGACCCCTCAGAGCTCACCCACCAGACAGACCACAGAACCCTCACTGTCCCCTTGTCTCCCAGCTTCATCTCTCTGTATTGGAAATGTTCACGGTTAACCGTCCCGCACTCACCGACGTAAAAGACGTACGTGTCTCTCTGGTTTACTTTCTAACCAATCCCAGAGATTTCACCGCTTTGCTTTCTCCCACCTCCCAGATCTACCACTGGTGGATTCCATGCACCCACCCTCTTCCCCACTGAAGCCTCTTCCTTCGATTCTAATGTAGAAAGTAAGTTGCAAAACTGCCATTCCTCAGAGCATTTTCTAATTCCCTTGAGATTTTGCTTCCTGGCAATTGTCATCCGTTTGTTTAAGTCAACTCATAAAAAAAATTCTCTACAGTTTTGGACGTTTCTTAGGTCGACAGTACTTGTCACAGTGGCTTTTGACTGTTACTTGTCTGACTGTCAGATTACACTGAGCTCGACAAAGGAGAGACTGTTCTGATTCAGTGGGCAAACATACGCTCCCTGCGGGGCATTGAGCAGCGGCTTTTGTCTGGGGACCCCGAATGGGGGCGCTCTCCTGCCTAGAAGACAGGGCATCTAATTGCCAGCAGGTCCGTGGTAGAAAGGCAAGCACAAGTGTGGGTTTGGGGGCCTCCTTGAGTGGGTTATGTTTTCTGCACCGTGTTTTATAAATTCCTTCTTTTTTATGTATATTTTATTGATTCTTTACAGAGAGGAAGGGAGAGGAATAGAGAGCTAGAAACATCGATGAGAGAGAAACATCGATCAGCTGCCTCCGGCACACATCCCACCGGGTATGTGCCCGCGACCAAGGTACATGCCCTTGACCGGAATCGAACTTGGGTCTCTTGAGTCTGCAGAACGCTCTATCCACTGAGCCAAACCGGTTAGGGCTTAAATTTCTTCTTTAGGATCCCACCCCCACTGGTTCCTGACTCACCTTTAGGAAGTACCCTCGGCTCCCAGCCACCACGACCCCTTTTTCGCCTTCAAAGCCATCGACCATCACCACCAGGTCCACGTGCGAGTACTTCTTCCTAACCGTGCAGTCACCCCAGGTCCTCTCCACTTTGTTGTCTGCATCCTAAGGAAACAGGACCGGGAGAGAAAGTTGCACGGCCTCTGAATTCCACAGCCTCCATCTTCCCAAACCCGGATCTAACAACAACCTGGAGCTTTGTGAAGCCACGGCTTAACTCAAACTCAAACATGAGGTTTTGGTCATCGTGTCCAGAGACCAGGGAAGGGAATTTGCTAGAGAATTTGTGCTCAGTAGAGAAATAATCATTTTTAGATTCCTAGAAGGGATTCTAGCCATGAAATTCAAAGCATGATTGTCCAAAAGATCTCTCTCTCTCTCTCTTTCTTTTTTCTTTTACCCCTTTAAATGCTTTGTACAAGGATACCTCAACCCTAGACAATTAACACTGCCTGGGATGCAGAGGAGAATGTAGATTTTTTTTTTCCCCTCCAGGCTCTCATTGGTCCCAGGGCTATAGGAGGGTGGGCTCAGGGCCCGGACCTCCCTGGTCTGCCACCCCAGCCAGCGGAGAGTTTAACATTCCGTTCACCAGGGAATGAATGTCAGAGGCACAGATGGGCCCCGCTCTGGCTGGGGTGTCAGGGAACAAAGGCTGGGCTCAGAGCAGCTTTGTGCTGGGGGAGCTCCCACTCAGCAGGGAACTTTTATCGTGCAGATTCCCCTTCGACCTGCAGCGTCTCAGCGGGGTGTGGGTGAGGGGTGAGGTTGATTTAGCAGATCCCTCCCACCAGACTGGCTGCTACCAGGGGCAACAGTGGAGGACAGCAGCCAGATGCAGAAGAGATTTCTGAGCCCAGGAGTCTGCTACCTGCGGTCTCTGCCACTTCCCAATCAGGCAAGGATCTGACGCTTTCAATTCTCAACTGGTGGGCAGGGCGAATGCACAAAGGACCTGCTTCTGACACAGGGCCCTCAGTGTGGCCCTGTCCTCCTTCCACGAGAGGAGCGATGTCAGCTGCGGCACCTCCACGCCTACCTCATCGTTACTGATGGGCACCGAGGGATGCAGAAGGTTCCCGATCTCTCGGAGGTTCTCAAACCGCTCTTCCTCCAGCTTTATCCGCTGGGTGTCGCAGTTGAGGATGGCTTCATCGATGAGGAGTCGGAGTTTTTTGATCTGTGACACTTTCAGGTTCTGTGGACGAACAAGCCAGGCCCACAGCCAGGCCACAGGGCATCAAGAACAGAGAAGGGATGCGATTCTGGGGCCCTAACCCAGCTGCGCTCTGCCGACAAGCCTTGGGATAGCCTTTGAAAAACTGACAATGGAGGCTTTCAAAGCGACCTTGCCCTTACAGACCCACTGGCATTTCCTTCTGGGGTGCCTTCAGCAGAGAGGGATCGATTCTGGCAACTCCTCTGGTTCCTGTATATCTCAGGAATTTCAACATTAGCTCTCTGCAGGGCTCTTTCTTCCTGATTCAATGGATTTAGCATCCTGTTACACACTGCACTTCACTTTCTTCAGGAAGATTATACATTTATCAGGAGCAAGAGACTTTGTCTTAAGCTAACTTTGTATCCCTCTTTGCAGATATTTCAAACTGCACTGATTTCTTGTGGGGAGCCCTGAGCAGGTAGGCTTAGACAGGAAGAGCGCCCCCAACCTAGCTCTTTAAGCACAGCAACAGCTTTTAAAATTTTTATTTACTTGTTTAACAGCTTTTTTGTGTTTATGCTCTTTTAAAATATATATATATATATATTTCTTTATTGATTTCAGAGAGGAAGGAAGGAGAGAGAGATAAAAACATCAATGATGAGACAGAATCATTGATCGGCTGCCTCCTACACACTCCCTTACTGAGGCATCGAGCCCACAACCTAGGCATGTGCCCTTGGCCAGAATTGAACCTGGGACCCTTCAGCCCGTAGGCTGACGCTCTATCCACTGAGCCATGCCGGCTAGGGCTGGGTTTATAAGCTCTTGCTATGCTTTTGTATTATGGGTTTTCAGAAAGGGCTTAGCGACTAAAAACCTGAAAATTACTGCTCTAGGCCCTTTATAGAGTGACTGTTCACTGAATAAATTAAAAATTACCTGACTCTGGGAAAAGAGAATGTAAGCTACCCATAGTTCCTTTTTTCTCTTCTTCCTCCCTCGACTCTTCCACTCCATCTGTCTCCCACTCTGCTGTCCCATAAAAAGTACAAAATACATAACAAGAGTAATAGGGACCTGTCCCAGCTGCAAACATTCAAGGACAATGCCGTATGTAGCAGAGTTTGAGCATTTACTTTTCTTGGAAGAAAGTGAAGATAAAAGAAGAGAAACCCCAACCTAGAAAAGGACAATAACTTACAGCTAAAGTGTCTGGAGTGATGTCATCGAGATTTACCAAATTCTCCGGAATGGACTCATCATTTCCCACTGGCTCTTTTTTCTGCAGGAAAAACAAAGAAACAACACTATTAAATAAAAAAAATTCTGACATCGTAAGTGCACATCAAATTAACATCACAGAAACTAATCCCAGAACTTCCTACACGACTGTCTCTAAAAGAGGCAACACTTGGGAGAAAGAGTAGCAAATTGGACGTGAGAACTTAAAAGTTTCAAGTCTCTGTTCTGCCGCTTTCTAGCTTTTTGATCCTGGACAGACTGATTAACCCGTCAAGGTCAGAGGGCTGACATCATCGGGAACACGAGAAGAAGGTTTGCCCTGGATGTAAAAGAGTGTGGGCACCAAAAATGGGTGAGCACAGCCAGTGAGACTCAGGGATTGAGCATCAGCCTATGAACCAGGAGGTCACGTTCGATTCAGGTCACGGCACATGAATGGATTAAGGATCGATCCCCAGTAGGGGGCATGCAAGAGGCTGATTCTCTCATCATTGATGTTTCTATTTCTCTCCTCTCCCTTCCTCTCTCTGAAATCAATTTAAAAGTATGTATATATGTATGTGTATATGTGTATATATAGAGAGAGAATGGGTAAGAATGCTCATGTGCTGGGTGCTCAGCGCTTGGGCATACGCCTGGGTGTGAATCTGTGAATCCCTGTCTACCTGCTAAGAACAGTCCCAGTGCTGAGGCTATTGGGGGGGTGAGGGGGTGGGGGTAGGAATGGATGGGATGATGGGATGTTAGAGAGGCAAGGGAAACTTTTTGAGGGAAAAGTCACAAAATCTGGACCTAAGTTTAGAGCAGTCAATGCAAGCTGGCAAAGAGCAGGGATGTACCCAGAGCTCGTTTTCTCCCCCTTCTGATTTCTGGCCTCACCCTTCTTTATGATATTCTGCCAAATCATTTCTAATCCTTGTCCACAGCCATGGGGAAGATAATTTTAATTAATAAATTAAATTATCAAAGGCCATTATAACAAGACCTATAAAACCTCAGCAAAACTTGTATAAATACAAGATGAGCCCTAGCCAGTTTGGCTCAATGGACAGTGTTGGCCTGAGGAATAAAGGGTCCCAGGTGCCATTCCAGTCAAGGGCAAGTATCTTGATTGCGGGCTCCTCCCCAGCCTGGGCCCTGGTTGGGGCGAGGTTGGGGCCTGTGCAGGAGGCAACCAATTGATGTGTCTTTCTCACATCGATGTTTCTCTCTGTCTTTCCTTCTCTTCTACTCTCTCTAAAAGATCAATGGAAAAATATCCTCAGATGAGGATTAACAACAACAACAAAAACCCAAGGTGAGATTTAGGGTCTATTTTGCAAGTATAAATAAAATGTGTAGAAAGCATACTCAATGTCCTTAAATGTCTTAAAAAAAAAGTCTATATATACAATAGGCAATTATACCTATACAACCTCATATCCACTGTGCAAAACTGAATCATGAGGAAGGATAATATATTTTAAGGACAAAAACATAGAAATCCTTTAGACACAGTCCCACCCACCAAAGCGAGAAGTCAGGATTCCAACCATAACCCAACTCACATCCTTCCATGACCTAGCAAAATCATCTTGAAAAGTTGGGAAAGTCTGAAAATATCAGTGTCTTGACAAGAACAAGCATAGACTACTGAGGCCGAAAAAAGTGGCCCAAACCACAATATTTCCCAAAGAAGCTGAGGCTCCCTCGCTATCTGCAAATCCCTCGGAACAGAAAGTTCTGCGTTCAAGTTCTGACTCTGCAGCTAGCGTAATTTAGGAAAGCCCCTTCATTTCCTCAGGTTATTTCCTTGCCCTTTCTTTATTTTCTCTTTTCCTTGCCCTTTAAAAAAAGCTGATAATTGTACCACCTATACTTGAGGTTTAGAACAAAGATCAAAATCAAAATGAGATATATACAAAAAGGTTTGTAATACTTTCAAGTGCTATATAAGTGAAAGCTAGCACCATTTCCATGGACAGCAAAGGAGAACACTCCTTACAGGGTTAGCAGTAAAGGGACCCAAGAATCTATAATAACAAAAGTGTAATATGCTAGTTAGATCGGACGTCATTCAGGACAACCTTCAGCACGAAGTCGGGGCTGTGAGGGAAACCTGGGTCCCGGGTGCCTGCCAGTGGTTCCCGGTGCCTGAGGGAAGTAGCCGGGGGAAGGAAAGCCTACTTTTGCACGAATTTCGTGCACTGGGCCTCTAGTGTTAAATTAGTCCTATCATAGTCTTCTTTTTTAAATTTCAGAGAGAAGGAGAGAGGGAGAGATCAGAACTTCAATGATGAGAGAGAATCATCAATTGGCTGCCCCCTATTGGGAGATCAAGCCTGAAAATTGGGCATTTGTCCTGACAGGGAATAGAACCGTGACCTCCCGGTTCACAGGTCAAAGCTCAACCACTGAGCCACACCTGCCAGGCTAGTGGAATCTTTTTGTTAAGTTCTTTACTGGGCCAGGTTCCTAATGTTTAATTTTTTGGTTTAGTTTAGGGGTTTACAACTTAAAAATTAGATAGGCTATAGGGTGCATTTTATATGTTTTTTAAAAAGTGATTAAGGGGATATTTTAAAAGAAAGATTAAAAACATGTACTCTTGCCGAAACCAGTTTGCTCAGTGGATAGAGCGTTGGTCTGCGGACTGAGGGGTCCCAGGTTCCGGTCAAGGGCATGTACATTGGTTACGTGCACATCCCTGGTGGGGGGTGTGCAGGAGGCAGCTGGTCGGTGTTTCTCTCTCATCAATGTTTCTAGCTCTCTATCCTCTCTGTGAAAAATCAATATATTAAAAAAATAAACATGTACTCTTTTGAATACCAAAGGAAGGGCAGAACTGAAACTTAACATTCTTCAAGCATGGGAGGGTTTTTGGATGAAGGCCACCCATTATTACTTATAACTGATAAGAATTCCATGTTCTCAGTATCGTGCCAGGTCCTCTACATGTAAACAATTTCGTTCTCATAATTCTGTTCTAGAGGTGAATGTTCGCTCTATCATTTCAGATGAGAATAACTGAGGCTGAGAAGTTAACTTGCCAAAGGATACCTCAACTTTTCAGGTCGAGAAAGAACTCGACAGAACTAAACAAAGAACCTGAACTCTGCTGCAGAAAATTCTTCTGGCACTGGAGGCTGAACTCAAGAAATAACTGGGGGGAGGGCGGGGGGGGGGGCAGTCGCAATGGTACATGTACAAAGATAATAATTTAATAAAAAAATAAAAGAAAAAGAAATAACTGGGAAAGATTACTGGTGGCATCTATGTTCTTATAAAAACAGCATAAACAACGGAGGACTTAGTATGGTAGGACTCTGACCTTGCTATAGACTGAAGGTTGAAAGTCAACAGATTCCTATGTTGAAACCTACCCCCCAATGTGATGGGATGTGGAGTTGGTATCTTTCATAGGTGATTAGGTGACCAGGGCAACCTCATCAGAGACCCCACAGAGCTCCCTGGCTCCTTCCACCCTGTGAGGACACAGCAAGGAGACTGCCTATGAGCCAGGAAGTGGAATGGGCCCTCACCAGAGACCAAATCTGCCTGGGCCTCGATCACGGACTTCCCAGCCTCCAGGACTGTGAGAAATAAATTCTGTTGTTTAGAGCCACCCAGTCCATGGCAGCCAAACAGACCATATCTGAATACAGAAGATGGACTCGCCCCCTTAGTTCCCTTTCTTTAAAACACGTACTATTTTCAATATCAAAGGAAGGACAGAACTGAAACTTAACATTCTTCAAGCACAGAAAGATTTCCCCCAGCCCTGGCTGGTGTGGCTCAGTTGGTTGGGGGTCCTGTGAAACAAGTCGATGGTTTGATTCCTGGTCAGGGCACATGCCCAGGTTTTGGGCTCCATCCCCAATATGGGGAATGCAGGAGGCAGCCGACGGATGTTTCTCTCTCATTGATGTTTCTCTCTCTCTTCCTCTCCATCCCTTTTTCTAAAATCAATAAAAACATACTTTTAAATAAAATAATTCTCCCATAAGGGTAAGAAATTTGGTATCCCATAGACTCAGACACTAACCTAGAAATTATTAATAATTTCTAACCTTGGCGGATAGTTCTCTTACCTTCATTTTCTCTCCAATTGTCTTGCTGCACAGGTTCTTCAGCTTGTTCAAGTTGTCGGCTCGAAATCTGCCTGAAGGATAAAGAACCCAAGAATATTCCAAAGATATGCAGGTAGTTAAGATTCCTCCCTCTCCTAATCGTGGCTCCTTTGGACCGATCTCAGCCCAAGGACAGAGAGCAGGCGGAGCTACAGTTTGTCTCAAGAAGCTGTGAAATCTTGTAGCTTTAGAGCCCCACATTTATTGGCATAAATTGTGACAATAGGGTCCCCCAGCATTTGGTGACAAGGAAAGGGCCGCTCTGAGGCCGAAATGAAAATGTATCGGAACCTGGATGACACTGTAGTAGAGTAATACATCTGAGGAATTAATCAAGTAATGACAAACTGTTCGATTCCCTTAAAATTTATTTAAGAAACAATGTAGTGTGCAGGGGGATCTAGAAAGCGGACAGTCAGATGTCTTTTCCCATGAACTTGGTTGCTACATCTCTATGCTAGAAATGGTCAATGTTATTCCCTTTGCTTTGACATAATGCTCATCCTACACCCTTCAGATTAATTTTACTTTTTACATCTTGATTTCTTTGGGGGAAAACAGGGTACTAGTCAGCCTGCTTAGGTATTCTGGCCCAAATTAACTGGTGTTGTGGCTCATTAGACCAACTTTTGCTTCTAAGCTTTTGGAGCAATTTGGTAAAAATCAAGCTTTTAACAAGTGAAATGATGACTAGAAATGCAATAGCATCTAGATGTAGTTACTGTTAAAGGCTTTGCCAAACTTTACATTTAAACTGAACTTTAGCCCAGCCGGCGCATTGACCTGTGAACTAGGAGATAATGGTTAGATTCCTGGTGAGGGCACATGCCCTGATTGCGGGCTCCATCCCCAGTGTGTTAATAATATAATTTTCGGATCATGGGTTAAATAAAACATGTTCCTAAAATTAATTTCACCTGTTTTCCTTTAAATTTTTAAAGTGGCTACAAAAAGATTCATAATTATACCTGTAGCTTAACTTGCATTTCTATCAGACAAATTTAAGTATGTAGATCACTGTAAGACTTAAGCCTGGAGGCAAAAATGACCAGATTTTCATTCCAAAAAGATCACACATCCTGGATGTGGCAGGATGGATGAGACTGGGGTGAAACCGAAGGCAGACAGTGGTTCCAATGACAAAGGCCTGACTGGAATCTGCAGTCAAGGTTAAGAGGAAATAACAACTTCAATTTATAATAAAGAGAAATCTCATTCAGAATGGCACTTTTGGGGGGAAGATAGGATTCTGGTGATGAGCTGATTGGAAGATAGGTGGATCTTATATGCCCAGATGTGTCCTCAGAAAACACAGTTGGAATCCTTGAAGTTATAAGAGCCGTGCTAAAATCTGTGGTGCTAGGGCTCCACGTCTTATCCAATTCCTTTGAAAGCCCTAGTGACACCTTGGAGGTGTAGAGGCAGACAAATCGGTACTGCTGTCATGGAGGGCCTTCTGAGGCTCGCTGTGTCCTCAGTCAGGGAACACAAGTTCTTAGTGTGGCTCAGGGTTACAAGTCCTTGTTGCAGCCAATGACTGGAGAGCCCCGACTTCTGATCTGAGGTTTGGGTATAAAAGAACTTTGCTACAAGATCTGTCAATGTCCTACACGGGCAGCCAGCGACTTGGGAAAACTCATTAACTCCTTTTGGCTGCAAAGAGAAAACTGGAAAGGGGTGAGAAGTAAAAAAAATCAAATCATAGATGTGTTGAAAATAAATGAAAAACTGCTTTTCATACAGAAGGGCAAAGGCCCTGAACACAGAAGATATTCATATATATTATAAAAAGCTTTATCGCCCTAGCCAGTTTGGCTCAGTGGATAGAGCATCAGCCTGCGCACTGAAGGGTCCCGGGTTCAGTTCTGGTCAAGGGCATATACCTGGGTTGCAGGCTCGATCCCCAGTGGGGGGCATGCGGGAGGCAGCCGATCGATGACTCGCTCTCATCACTGATGTTTCTATCTCTCTCTCCCTCTCTGAAATCAATAAAAATATTTTAAAAACAAACAAACAAAACCTTTGTTGAACCCTTACCTAGGAGCAGGTACAGTGCTAACACAGGGAATATATGTATACGTGTGTACATGTATACCTGTATGTATATGCATACCGTAGGTACTGGGACATACTGATGCATAAACTACAGCCCTGTCCCTGAAGAACTCACCCCTCTCACCATATATGCATTGATTACAAAAGGGATAAAACTTCCTGGAGATGTGTGCATTATATACAAGAAAAGAGTTCACACATTCAAAGGAATGTACTGCTGAGCAATGGGTAACTGGATAACAAAAATCTGATAATTCTAATTTGGTAAAACAGAGTTCAGTCAAGTTTTTTTTCCTTCCAATTAATTTAATTCCATTACAATTCAGGTTCAGGTGGTAGGATCTCACAGTCACAAACTACCACCTTACAGTGACTGAGAGACATGGAATTATTAACAGGCAGCCCGAGTTAAACAAATACTCTCTTGGTACCCAACACCCTTATAAATTCAGGAAAAGCAGTGTCCCCACTAGAAAGCCACCACTGTGTTGGACACTGACTGCCTTTGCAGTGTGCTGTCATACACTTGGCTCTCAGCTGGTTGCAGACTTATTGCATCAGACAGAAATCACATGTGCTTGACAGCATCCGGTCAATCAGTGGCTACGCCAGTTCATTGTAGGCAAAGGATTCTATGATTTTAGTTTCGTTTCCAAACTCTACCAAGATCTTTTCCGGAATAGCTCCACAGATCACAATGACACAGCCTCAATAATCACACGCCTTTTTCTTGCCTCGCCGCACGCCTCTCCCCATGCCTGATCTACCACGGAACAGACTTTTCGCGATTTTGAAAGGTCTTGATCACAACCCCGGGGACGATTTTCCCCACAGCTCCCGGGATCACTGCTTCTAGGCAGAAGCGGGCTCCAAGGACCCCAAATGCTTCCAATGTGGGTGGAGTGACCCTATCACGCTGCAGATGTGCCTCAGGCCGGAGCCTTTCATCCTATCCAAGTAGGAGATCACTCTGGCCTTTCGGACGAGGAGAAAAAGGCCAGAGATGACCAAAGATGAGTGTTGGGAAAAGGGAAACCTCCCACCCGGGCTTTCTCGGGGCTCCCCTTGCAGCGGGAAAGCCCTGACAGCTCTTGATGCGCATGCGCCCTGCTCCTTCCCAGACCGATGACCCTCACCGGGCGCGCACGGGAGAGAGCACGCACCGACCCGCCGACGCGAGATGTGGGACAGTCCCGGCTACCCAAGCGGCTTTGGGGGATAAGGAACGCCTCGGAGCCACCGCAACCAGGCAGGGGGGGTCACACGAGGGACGGAAGCTGTGGCTTCAGGAGCGGGAACGAGGTCCGAGAGCTGAAGCTGGGCTTATTATATGGGGGGACATCCGGGACTCACATTTTCGCCACTCGCCGTCCGCCTTCACCAGCCGATCCACCAGTCCCGGGTCCTTGAAGCGGTTCTTCTGCGTCTCTCGGATGCGGTCTGGGTCCCCTCCTTTGTCCTCCCGAAACAGGTCCAGGTCCAACACCATCTTTCCTCCTTCCCTGATCAACAGTGAGGAGAAATGAAGCTCAGGAGCCAGGGAGTCAAGCAGGGAGTCAACCGGGGACCAACGCACTGCGCCTGCGCGCGGGCTTCCCCTCTACACCGGAAGCGGCTCGGTGGGAGGCGGGACCTCGGGGGAAGGCGGGGCCTCGGGAGGAGGGCGGGATCTCGGGGGAAGGCGGGACCTCGGGGGAAGGCGGGGCCTCGGGAGGAGGGCGGGACCTCGGGGGAAGGCGGGGCCTCGGGAGGAGGGCGGGGCCTCGGGGGGAAGGCGGGCCGCTGAGGAGAAGACGGGGCGCACGGGCGTGGGCTCCTCTCGCTCTGTCCCCCCACCCCCGCTAGGACTTGTCCCCGCTAGGGCTCTCCCCCCATTTCTGCCCCCTCTTTGTAGGGGCCCTCACTGCCCCGTGAAGGTGAGTGCCTCAGTTTCCTCCTCACGTAAAGGACGTACCTCAGGCTGGACGCGGGCCTGCCGACGGGATACCCTGGAAGCTGGCGTCTGCATAGGCGCCCGTTTCCGGGTCCCAGGCTTGGGTCCTCACCTCACCGGACCCTCGCGCCTTATTTTGTATTTATTTTTATTTTTATTTTTATTATTATTTCCCCCCCCCTCCCCCGCTTGACTTCATTTTTTAGAACCTGGGTTACCTCAACTCAAGAGACCTGTTCTGCCTCACAGCCCTGAGAATAAGGGTTCTTTCCTTTCTCTTCTTTAATTAATTAATTAATTGTGTTCATCCTCACTAGAGGATGTTTTTTCCATTGATTTTTAGAGAGAGCGGAAGGGAGGGAGGGGGGAGAGCAGCAGCATGTGAGAGAGACAAGTTGACTGGTTGCCTCCCGCGCGCCCACATCCCCACTGGGGCTTGGAACCTGCAACCCAGGTGCATGCCCTGACAGGGACTCCAACCTGAGACCCTTTGGTGCGAGAACCGACACTCTATCCAGGGCGCCACGCGGGCCAGGGCTAAGGATACATTTCTTATTCTAATTACTGGGTAAACCAGATTGTCCCTTTACCAGCCCTTAGAAGCATGGGGTCAGAAAAAAAGAAAATTCATGTAAAAGGAGAAAGAAACACACACAGAACAAAACAAAAAGGAAAAGGAAGAAGAACGTAGGGTCAGGAAAGTGCACTTGTCATCTTTTGGAGAGAGACACAGGGACACGAAGAGACTTTTCCCAGCGGCACACGTTTGCCAGCTTTGAAGGCCGAGCAAGGTGCTGAGGTCATCCCTTTGGATATTTGAAAACTTGAGCCAAGGTTCCCTCAAACTTCATTTTGTAACGTTCAGGCCTTTACAGTAAAAGTTCTGGTTATCGAAGAATCTCCCTGGTAACGAGAGAGATGGGAGGATTTGGGAGTAGGCATTCTGTTTTCCCCGTCCTCCCACCTTACAGACTTGGGAGCCCCACTCCCCATATCCCAAAACTAGCTGTGCGGACCTTGGTCTTACCCACCTGCATGGGCTGCCATGAGGCTGCCCCACAGCAGCCCTCTCTCCCCAAGGCGCCTCCGCCCAGCTAACTCTGAGATGGAGGCCGGGGCTCATGGCAGTGGGGGAGCAGACACGTAGAGAACCCGAGGAAGGCTTAGGGAAGGGGGTTTCTGGGTTTGCCTCCCTAGATTCAGTTTGCTGAGGATGTTAGGTTTAAAACCAGTGGAAAGGAAGCTTAGGGAGCTGCAGTCTCTGAAGAGAGCAATTGAATTCTCTGCACTCTGAGGGCAGGGTCTCCTTGGAGGAATGGCTGCTGCTGTATCAGCGAAGGCAAGGTGCTGCCAAAGTGTGTCGTTTGCCTAGTTTCTGGACAAAGCTGCGTGTTCCCCAAGACTGCCCTGGGGCCCACGCCCAGGACAGGATGGCCACTGTGCCAATGCTTTAAGGAGGACATTAATATAATTGAAAGGATGGCCCTAATGTTCTGGCCTCTCCAGAGATCGATAGATAGATAGATTTTTTTTTTTTTTTTTACTACAGGCCTGGTGCATGACTCATGCACTGAGGAGGGGGGAGGGGAGGTTCCCTCAGCCTGGCCTTCACCCTCTCAAAGTCCAGGACCCCTCAGGGAGTAGGCCAAAGTGGGCAGATGGACATCCCCCGAGGGTCCTTAACACTCCTGCCACCACCACAGCCATGAACCTGGCTTCTAGCTAAGTGTTGCTCCCCCTGTGAGAGTGCACTGACCATCAGGGGGCAGCTCCTGCATTGAGCGACTGCCCCTGGTGATCAGTGCTTGTCATAGTGACCAGTCGTTCCTCCATTCAGTTGATTTGCATATTAGCCTTTATATTCTATAGGAAGGGAGGGAGAGGGAGATAGAAATATCAGTGATGAGAGAGAATCATTGATGGGCTGCCTCCTGCACACCCCACGCTGGGATCAAGCCTACAATCTGGGCATGTGCCCTGATCAGGAATTGAACCATGGCCTCTTGGTTCATAGGTCAATCCTTAACCACTGAGGCACACCAGCCAGCCTCCCTGTTAGTCTTATCATTAGATTACAAACATCTTCCTTTAAAATGCTTGTGTTACCTGATAAATATAGAAATGAATATAATGGCATACTTTATTTATCAGGTCAGAATCCCAGGATTTTTAGAGCTGGAGGGAAAGCTTAGCTATCTGCTATCTTATTAATTCCTAATATTTTCATCTCCTTGTCCCTCATGTTTTGAAATACCTTTGTCTAACAAACAGGATTTAGAAAACAATAATTCATTTCCCCTTCTTATTAAGACATACATGGCTGCCAACTAGAATTTCTGATTAGCAGGGAATAACCAGTGTTACTACACTGAGTACTTCCTGCCAGAAGCTAACACACACACACACACACACACAAACACACACACACACACACACACACACAGAAAAGACACATAATACTTTAGTCATGGAGAGATGGCATGAATCCATACCACCTTTGGATGTGTGGTTTCTGTTAGCCTTTCTTATTGAGAAGAGCACTTGGATGCTGTATCTGAGAACTCAGGGATTCAAGGATCCCGAACTGGGAAACAGATCAGCCTCTTTTTTATAAGGAAACTGAGGCCCAGGGAAGCTAAGCAATGGAGCTAAAACCTGAACGCTGATAAATGCATGAGACTCTCATTTTGGGCTTATACTTTTGTTAACATTCTTTAGCAGAACACAGGGTCTTGAGGAATTTTTTAAAGAAAAAAGTGGCTTTTTTTTTTTTTTTTTATAAGGCAGATACCATTGGATACTTGTATCTTTTTCTCCACAGGACCTAGCACAGAATCTGACATCTCCAAGATGCTTATTACATTCACATTGGGTGAGAGACTTGCAGGGAGTGGCTGAGGGTAGAAGTTTGTTGTAGGTTTAGGGAACAGAATCCTAGGTGAGCGACTGCCTTGGAAGTGCTAGGCAACTAGTGGGTGTTAGGGTTGCCAAGAGAGGAATGCACGAGGCCAAAAGGGGTAACGAATTATGAATTTACTAGAGGCTAGATGTATGAAAATTCATGCAAAAATAGGCCTTCGTTTCCCTGGCTGCTGGCACCACCTTCACTCCAGCCTGGAGCTGCCTTTCCTCTGGCCTTGAGCCGCCTTTGCTTCGGCCCGGAGCTGCCTTTTGCCTCTCACCTTGTCACGTCAATTTGCATACTCCTTATTGGCTGTGGATGCCGCCATCTTTTGTTGTGGAGTTACGGTCAATTTGCATATTCTTTCTTTATTAGATAGGATTAGGTCATCTGAAAAACCAAATGGGCTGAGCCCCAGGGATGGGGAGTCAGAGGTTTTAAAGGACGTTAGAGGGGCTTTTTCTGGGCGGAGAATTCTCTGGGCTGCTCAGGATTCTGGGAAATCCCAGAGGGGAGAGATAATGGTGGAATGTGGTTTAAGCGGAAAGGAATGTCCGTTGTGAAGTGGACTAAAGGCCAGTTCCCAGGGGAGGGGTATTGATTCAATTATTTGATCAAACCTAACAGTGGGCAGCCCAGGGGAAATGAGTACCTACATGGAAGGAACAAGTAAAAGGGTGGGGCCCTACCTGGCTAGGCTCAATGGATAGAGTGTCAGCCTGTGGACTGAAGGGTCCCAGGTTCAATTCCGGCCAAGGACACATACCTGGGTTGCAGGCTTGATTCCCATTTGGGGGTGTGCAGGAGGCAGCCGATCAATGATTCTTATCATTGATGTTTCTGTCTTTCCTTCTCCCTTCTCTGAAGTCAATAAAGATATATATATATGCCAAAACCGGTTTGGCTAAATGGATAGAGCGTCGGCTTGGGAACTGAAAGGTCCCGAGTTCGATTCTGGTCAAGGGCATGTACCTTGGTTGCGGGCATATCCCCAGTAGGGGGTGTGCAAGAGGCAGCTGATCAATGACTCTGGTCGATGTTTCTAACTCTCTATCTCTCTCCCTTCCTCTCTGTACAAAATCAATAAAATATATTTAAAAAAAAGATATATATTTTAAATATATATATATATTTTATTGAGTTTTTACAGAGAGGAAGAGAGAGGGATATAAAGCTAGAAACATTGATCAGTTGCCTCTTGCACGTGCCCTATGGGAATGTGCCCGCAACCAAGGTACATGCCCTTGACCAGAATCAAACCTGGGACCCTTCAGTCCACAGGCCGACACTCTATCCACTGAGCCAAACTGGTTTCAGCAAGAAATATGTGTGTATATATATATATATATATATATATATATATATATATATATATATATATTATTATTTTTTTTTAAGTAAAAGGGTAGGGAGTCCAGGCATAGATGCCATCCTCAGTGTCTTTCCCCCCCCCCCCCCCCGCACCTGGATCTTCCAGAGCTGGCTAATGTGGAAGGGCTCTCTCTGGTCTTACTTTAACACACTCTTTGCTCTTTTTGTTCTTCTTCTTCTTCTTTTTTTTTTAATTGAAATAGGATTTCTCAGTATTTCACAAGCCCTAACCTCGCACTCCCCTGCCTGAAGCCTTCAGTGACTACATGCTACTCTCAGGAGA